TTGCACCATCAATGGTAGAATCACTTATGTGTATGCAAGCTTGGTCTCACGCCAACATGGTATGTAAATGATCTATTGTCTAGTACTCTAATTGAAAGTCAATATGTTCACATCTATATCTCTTATAAAGCTAAACCCCACTACAAATTTTTCTCAATATCCAAGATATTCACATCATTTCTCACTACCTATCCACATCACCTCCCATTAATATCCATGTCATCCACTAATTTTCAATCTTTTAATACAAGCTGTTCACACCATCTCCACTAAAGCAATTTAATTTTAATATATGAGAAATATAGAGGGCATTCATATATTGCTATTTGTTTTGTCATTCTATCGTCTTATAATTTGATCTAATTATGTTAGTTTTTTATTTGATTCTTTCATTGTTCGCACCATTTCCACTAATCACAATTTAATTTCAATATATAAGAAACATAGAGGGCATTCATATATTGTTATTTGTTTTGCCAGCCATCGTCTTATAATTTCCACTAAGCACAATTTAATTTCAATATATAAGAAATGCAGATGGCATTCATATATTGTTATTTGTTTTGCCATCCCATCGTCTTACAATTTGATCTAATTATGTTAGTTTTTCATTGAATTCTTTCATTGCCTTGTCTAATTTTGGTGTGAATGGATGTAAGAACATATAGGTTTAATTTATACATGCAACAATTTTATTTCTAAGAAAGTTTCACAGCAACGTGCAGGGTATTCTTCTAGTTTCTTATAAGTTAAATCACTAGTTTATAAATGATTTGCCAATGCAGGATCTCAGCCGACTTTTGTTGGTGCTTTTATGACTTGTCTTCATGAAAAAGATGAAGAAATGGTATTGCTATTATTCATTCCATATTCCACTTCTGAATTGATGATTCATTCAATATTCAAGTAGGTTCCACAGTTATTGAAGAATGATGAACTCATCAAATGAAGATGAAGGCCTCAAGACTCAAGTTGCCTTCAAGAACTCTTATTTGTAGTAATGTTCATGTTTAAACGGCTACTGTTATTTGTTTCAAGGATTGAACGTGTCATGTGCATGTAATATGGAGTTTTAGATTGTGGATTATTTGTTTAAATTAAGAACATGTACTGCAGTTGTTCACTTGTTTCGGACTATGTGGAGTATCACTAGATGGCACTATGTTTTATGATGTTTGTTGTGTTGTGCTTGTGCACTATGATAGATTATTCTTGTTGTTGCTGACTACTTCCTTGTTATGTGTTGTGTTGTGCATGTGCTATTGTGCTTGTGATGTTCTTAGGTTGTAAAGTTCTTGGATTTCGGGGACCCAGCGGGTTGGGGACGGGGGCGATCTCTCCCTAAAATAGGGCTCAGGGTGGGTGAAAGGTCCTAATATGGCTAAAGGGAGGGTGAATAGGCAATTTAAAAATCTACAAACCGACTAAAGCAATTTGATCAGTATAACAAATAGCGAAATGCAAACTTGCTTTAGCTCTACAAGGGTTGCAAGCCACCTATCCAACAATTCTAGTTGCTATGATCACTAGATACACAAGTTGCTATGTTACTACTCACTAAGAACTCTCACACTTGCTACACTAAAGAGCTCCATTAGATGAACTTAAAATAACAAAGCAAGCTCTCAATTCTAATTACACTAAAGAGCTTGCTACAACTAGTTTGCAAGAATATAAATGAGTGAGTAGGGTGATTATACCGTCGCGTAGAGTAGTGAACCAATTACAAGATGAATACTTAATCAATCACCGAGAGAATACCAAAGGGCAAGAGACAACCAATTTTCTCCCAAGATTCACGTGCTTGCCAACATGTTACGTCCCCGTTGTGTCGACCAACACTTGGTTGTTCGGCGGCTAAGAGATGTTGCACGAACCTTGTCCACACAATTGGACACCACAAGAACCTACCCATAAGTGAGGTAACTCAATGACATGAGCAATCCACTAGAGTTACCTTTAGGCGCTCCACCAGGGAAGGTACAAATCCCCTCACAATCACCAGAGATGGCCACGAACAATCACCAACTCATGCCACTCCTCCTCCGCTGCACCAAGCCGTCTAGGTGGTGGCAACCATCAAGAGCAATACGTGAATCCCGCAGCGAAACATGAATACCAAGTGCCTCTAGATGCAATCACTCAAGCAATGCACTTGGATTCTCTTCCAATCTCACAATGATGATGGATCAATGATGGAGATGAGTGGGAGGGCTTTGGCTAAGCTCACAAGGTTGCTATGTCAATGCAAATGGCCAAGAGAGTGAGCTTGAGCCGGCCATGGGGCTTAAATAGAAGCCCCTATGAAATAGAGCCATTGTACCCCTTCACTAGGCACAACATGGGGTGACCGGACGTTGGACCTCAGCGTCCGGTCATGCGATGCACGCCACGTGTCCCCTCTCTTCAAATTTCGATTGTTCGATCTCAATGGTCAAGTGATGACCGGACGCGCCGCTAGAAAGTGACCGGACGTAGGACCCCAGTGTCCGGTCATTTCCAGTAAAGGTTCCAAATGCAAAATTTCACGACCGGACGCGACCGAACTCTCCCAGCGTCCGGTCACTCAATGTCTCCTCTGTGCGCCCCACGTCAGCACTGACTGGACTCAGACCCTGAGCGTCTGGTCACAAGACCGAGACATGAGCTCACTGCTATCATTGATTGGATGCTCCGGTCTAGTAGAGGCCAGTGTCCGGTCACTCCAGTGAAACCCTGTCTTTTCTATATAGGGCACCGGTGGCACCGTCGGACTATCCGCACTCTACGAACGGACATTCCACCGGTGAAGTTTCATACCCTTGCTCAAATATGCCAACCACCAAGTGTATCACCTTATGCACATGTGTTAGCATATTTTCACAAATGTTTTCAAGGGTGTTAGCACTCCACTAGATCCTAAATGCATATGCTATGAGTTAGAGCATCTAGTGACACTTTGATAACCGTATTTTGATACGAGTTTCACTCCTCTTAATAGTACGACTATCAATCCTAAACATGATCACACTCTCTAAGTGTCTTGATCACCGAAACAAAAAGGCTCCTATCATTTATAACTTTGCCTTGAGCCTTTTGTATTTCTTTTACTTCTTTTCCAAGTTCAAGCACTTGATCATCACCATGCCATCATTATCATCATGTCATGATCTTTATTTTCTTCATCACTTGGAGTAGTGCTACCTATCTCATAATCACTTTGATAAACTAGGTTAGCACTAAGGGTTTCATCAATTCATCAAAACCAAACTAGAGCTTTCAGTGGGTTCGAGTTTTATTCTCTGGTTTTAGTTGTAGGTACGTGGATCCAGCAGCTGGCCCTGCCCCCACCTCGTTGCCAACCCCTAACTAGTTCTAGAGCAACAATTGTAGGTCCTCGTCCCTAGATGCCACCTCCATTGATTCGCTTCTTCACTTGGCTCCGCCACTCCATTGGACGGTGGTGGTGCTCGAATGGTGGGGCCAATTCACCTTCAAAGAGGAGTCTGTCAATAGGGAGGGCAAAGCTTGATCTAACTCTTTTTATCGGAATGCTCGATTTCGTTAACTAGCGCGATGAGGCAAATCACCAGATACAAGGTCTCTTACAAATTCAGGGGCTTGGCTCAGAAACACTAATGAGTCAGAGGCCAAGACATTGCTTAAGTTTGCAATGCATAACTTGCATATATGATATTTCTGGCCCTGAATGCAAGCACATCCAACTACGTGTTTGTCGGTTTGGCTCTGTTATCTCTATCTCTCTCTCCTCCAGTGAAGTGGAGCGGCCCGATAGGTGAGTGAGCCCAAGGGTATAGACGTAATTTCATATCCAATTATATTCCTAAATTATGTTTTCGGTGAATAAGTTTTGACGGAATGCTATTTTTGGTTGATATTTTCGTCTTTCAATGGTATTTTACAAAGGCGAACTCGTTCAGTGGTATTTTTTAATGCTATGGAAACATTTTTCCTTCTTTTTTGATAGCATTTGTCTTCTCAATCATATAATATATAATCAGACTTAGACTTGATTTCATTTTTACGCCGTTTGTGGAATTTTTTAATATTATATGATCGTCATGCATCAAAAGTAACTTACGCCCTCCATATCAAAACAAATGTCATTATGGTATTCATGCTGGTCAAACTTTCTTAAGTTTGACTAGGTTTATAAAAAATGTTAGCAACATTTCTATCTTCAAATAGTTTATTACGAAAATAGATTCAACGATCCATCTAATGATACTAATTATGTACTATAAGTATTAATATTTTCTTGTATATATTTAATCAAAGTTAAAAGTGGTTGACTCCCCAGAAAGTGAGAACGACACTTATTTTGGAATAGAAGGAGTACATCATAATTAGTTGTGCTCTATAAATTGATTTAGCATCTACATCTACAAGAAAAACCAAATGTTAGGAATTTCAAAGAGGAAGTTCAACCATAAGTTTATGCATACAACTCAGTAGTATCAAAGAGGCCTACAACTCGGTAACCATGTTCTGTTAGTTTGAAACCGGTCATGACACAACATTGCAAGTCGAGCACGCTCGGTATCCAATTCATCATACTGCACCACGAGGCCACGAGCATGCATACACCACCACGCCTTTTAATGGAAACAAATCAGGTGCGGACTATCCGTACGTAACACGGTGCGGACATTGTGCATGACATGTGGCCCATGGGACGTGTGATTTTGTAAGCAGACCCACACGTCAACAGCACAATCCATACAGGATCGCATAAGGACGGTCCGTACATAATTTTTTCCCTTTTAACACGTCATAGCCATCTCCTGACCGCCCGATCAGAAAAACAAACGGCTCATATCAGGCGGCCAACGTGTCTAGCAGGCATTGGACAACGCACGTTGCCTCCGATTCAGAGTTGCCAAATCAGGGCTCGCCCCGGGTGGCTTTATATACTAGCACGGCGTGTACCCAATCGTCGCGTCCTCGTCTCGTTTCGTGTGTTACCAACATCGCAACACGACGATAGCTACGGCAACGCGATGGCTCGAGGAGAGTGGAAGTTGTTGTTTGTGCTGTTGGTCGCCGGGCTACTTGTGGCCCCATCCTATGCAGCGGCAACCGGTGATGGAGCCGGCGGCACCGCGATCGGCATTGACGCGGGCACCACCTACTCGTGCATCGGCGTCTACCGGAACGGCCGTGTCGAGATCATCGCCAACGACCAGGGCAACTGGATCACGCCCTCATGGGTCGCCTTCACCGACGGCGGTGAGCGCCTCATTGGTGAGGCCGCCAAGAACCAGGTGGCGGCCAACCCAGAGCGCACCATCTACGACGCCAAGCGGCTTATCGGGCGCCAGTTCAACGATGTTGTGCTACAGCGGGACATGAAGCTGTTGTCCGTGAGGTCATCGAGAGGAACGGGAAGCCACACGTGCGGGTCCAGATGAGGGAAGGCGACGTGCGCGAGTTCAGCCTCGAGGAGGTCAGTGCCATGGTGCTCACCAAGATGAAGGAGACGGTCGAGGCCTACCTCGGCCAGAAGGTCATGGACGCCGTCGTCGCTGTCCCGGCCTACTTCGACGATGTGCAGCGCCAGGCCACCAAGGACGCTGGCCTTATCGCTAGGCTCAACATGCTCCACATAATCAACGAGCCCACCACGGAAGCCATCGCCTATGGCATCGATGAGAAGGGCCTAGAGAAGAAGGTGCTCGTGTTCGACCTCGGCGGCGACACATTCGACGTCAGCATCCTGGCCATCAACAATGGCGTCTTCGAGGTGCTCGCCACCAACGGCGACACTCACATAACACCCTCGGTGTTACGCCCTAAACCAACTACTAAATCATGTCACGAGCATCGTGTTTGTGTAATAATGCATGTGATAGAAGGTACTGATAAATTCTTGTAGCCTAAAATAATCAATAAAAATGTTAAATCAATGTTGATGCAAGTAGGGTCTAAAACCAATTTTTATTAAGCAAAAATGCTATAGAATATATACGTGTCACCTTAATAAGGTTTGAAGTACACACTTTGTAGAAGATAGTCCAACTTTTATTTTAACAAGATAATAACGCTAGCTAATATTTCTAATAGCTTGAAATCAAATTTAAAACAAACATCAGCCAAGACAGTCAATTTCCTAAGTCTGGAAAATAGAATATCAAGGCTATGTTTGGGGATTTATTCTGAGAAAATTAGTTAGAAAATGGTGTCATGTGTAATCTCTTTTTGATAGCCTAATGTGTTCTTCGTGATGTAGCAAAGGTGGTTTAGTCTCAACTCACATGGATTAGTTGCTACACATGCTTTAAAATTCATCAACATCGCATGTCTCGGGCTGGCTGTCCCTATGTGCGCGGTCACCTCGTGCGGGAACTCGGCGTCGCCGTTCTTGGGTGCACCATGTGCACGTGCACTGCCGCGCGTTGGTCGGCCGAGTCCATCTCGGCCTGGCAATGGCTCGGTTGTGCCTTGGCCGCTCTAGACGCAGCGCCTGCTGCCGGTCATGGTGCCCCACTGTCGCTGTCGCCCTGCACGCTGCTCCCCTACCTAGCTATGTGCTACCGCTGCTGCGTTGCCTCTGCCTTGCACTACTGAGCTGTTGTGACCCTTCCCCCATCGCATTGCGCATGTGGGCTTCCCTCTCCTTCCCTGTTGCCATGCGCGACGCTCCGCCATTAATGGAGCTGCGGCCGCATTCATGCCACACTACCCCACCGCCTGCACGCGCATGTTTTGGCTTTGGCGCCAGAGCTGTTGCCCCTGTGAAAGCTCTAGTTTGGTTTTGGTGAATTGATGAAACCCTAGTGCTAACCTAGTTTATCAAAGTGATTATAAGATAGGTAGCACTACTCCAAGTGGTGAAGCAAATGAAGATCATGACATGATGATGGTGATGCCATGGTGATGATCAAGTGCTTGGACTTGGAAGAGAAAGAAGAGAAAAACAAAAAACTCAAGGCAAAGGTGAAATTGATAGGAGCCTTTTGTTTTAATAATCGAGACACTTAGAGAATATGATCATATTTAGGATTGATAGCCATACTATTAAGAGGAGTGAAACTCATATTGAAATACGGTTATCAAAGTGCCACTAGATGCTCTAACTCATTGCATATGTATTTAGGATCTAGTGGAGTGCTAAGACCCTTGAAAATGTTTGAGAAAATATGCCAACACACATGCACAAAGGTGATACACATTGTTTTTAGCACTTAGGAGCAAGGGTTCCAAACCTCACCGGCGGAGTGTTCGCCCATAGAGTGTGGACAGTCCGATGGTGCCATCGGTGCCCTATACAGAAAAGACAGAATTTCATAGGGTGCACCAGACGCTGGTCACATGGTGACCGGACTCTGACCCTACGTTCGGTCAGTAGTAGCAGTGAGCGCACTGTCTCGATCTTGTGACCGGACGCTGGCGCGAAGAGTGACCGGACGCTCAGGGCATGCATCCGGTCAATGCCGACGTACGCTGACGTGGCGGCGCATAGAGGAGACAGTGAGTGACCGAACACTGGGTGTGTCCGGTCGGTGGCTCGTGACTGGTACCTTACTGAAAACGATCGGATGCTAGGGTCCTATGTTCGGTCACTTCAGAGCTGTGCATCTGGTCACAACTTAAATGTACTGATGACCATTGAGATTGAGCGATCAGTGTTTGAAGCAGGGGACACATGGCATGCATCGTGCGACCGGACGCTGGGGTCCAGCGTCCGGTCGATCTGACCGGCACGTCCGGTCGCCCCGTTTTTCAGTGGACTGAGGAGCCAATGGCTCTATTTCTTGAAGGCTTCTATTTAAGCCCCATGGCCGGCTCAAGCTCAGCCACTTGGCCATTTGCATTGACATAGCAACCTCGTGAGCTTAGCCAAAGCCCGCCCACTCATCTCCATCATTGATCCATCATCATTGTGAGATTGGGATAGATTCCAAGTGCATTGCTTGAGTGATTGCATATAGAGGCACTTGGTATTTGTGTTTCACTGTGGGATTCACTTGTTTCTCTTGGTGGTTGCCGCCACCTAGATGGCTTGGAGCAGTGAGGATTGTCGAGCGGAGGTTGGTGATTTCACCGGCTCCGATCGTGGTGATTGTGAGGGGTCTTGTGCCTTCCCCAGCGGAGCGCTGAAAGGTAACTCTAGTGGATTGCTCGTGTCATTGAGTTACCTCACTTGTGGGTAGGTTCTTGCGGTGTCCAATTGTGTGGACGAGGTTCGTGCAACACCTCTTAGCCGCCGAACCACCAAGTGTTGATTGACACAACGGGGACTAGCGTGCCGGCAAGCATGTGAACCTCAGGAGAAAAATTGGTTGACTCTTGCCCTTTGGTATTCTCCCAGTGATTGATTTAGTATTCATCTTGTGATTGGTTCACTCCTCTACACGATGGTATAATCACCCTGCTCACTCAGTTATATTCTTGCAAACTAGTTGTAACAAGCTCTTTAGTGTAACTAGAATTGAGAGCTTGCTTTGTCGATTAAGTTTATCTAGTGGAGCTCTTTAGTGTAGCAAGTGTGAGACCTCTTAGTGAGTAGTGACATAGAAAATTGTGTGTTTAGTGATTATAGCAACTAGAATTGTTGGATAGGTGGCTTGCAACCCTTGTAGAGTTAGAGCAAGTTTGCATTTTGCTATTTGTTATACTAATCAAATTGCTCTAGTTGATTTATAGATTTTTAAATAGGCTATTCACCCCGCCCTCTAGCCATATTAGGACCTTTCACCCTGGTCGCGTCGGTCGTGTCCCGCCAAGTGATGTCGTGTTGAGTTCCAATATTCCCCTCCCCTCTCTTCTCTCTCCCTCCATGGTCGATTGAGCCACGACTTTAAGTGCGGCAGGGACAGGTCATCTCGGGTCGCGTCGTGGTGTCTCTGGCACTGCCATCAAGCCACCTAGCCAGCTGTCCTCACCCTACCTTGATTGGCACCTAGTCGAGCTCAAATTTTGGATCTTTGACCTACCACCGTGCCGTTAAGGCCGAGCCACCCATCACCGTGGGTAGCTCCCATCGAATGTCTGGAGCCAAATTGGCTGCACCGCTAGATTCGCCTTGAACCCCTCCTCACCATGCGCACCTGAGTTGTACCCCTACCGCTACCCCAACGCTGCTGACGCGGTCATGTCCTCCATGGCTTGTTGTCGAGCTCACCGCGAGTATGCGGCCAACCTTGCTCAGGGCATCTCCGCCCGAACCATCGCCTCCGCTAGGACCATGGTGAGTCCCTGATACTCACCCGTTATCGCTACTGCCCCACGAGTGTAGCAGCTCACTGGAATGTGGCCGTCACCGCTGCAGGTTGCCCGCCGCCATGGGGAAAAACGTCGTACCTCGCCTCCAGCCTTTGAACCGTGGCCCGGTGCCACGCGTCGACCCCTAGGTGAGCATCGACCCTCTAGGTGAGGCGTGGAGGTCCCCAGTCGGCCGGCGAGACCACCCTATGCCAGTCGATGCCGCGCCGGCGAGCGTGAGGGTGTCGGGGACCTATCCGTTGTAAAGAAGAGGAAATGCGAGAGCCTTTGTGCATAAGTGTTGTCTCTAGGAACAGTAGCGTGGACCGCATGTTGTTTGTCCAAAAGCCAAGGGCTTTTCTGCAAGAGCATCAGCGCACCTGCGGTCTCCCAGTGTGGGCATTCTTCGCGCACGGGCCAAGCCTGAGTTGGGCCGCGTTGGGCCGTTTTGGTCTTTTTCGTTTTCTAGCCGAATTAGTAAAGCTTTTGTATTTCAATTCTGAGTTAGATTTGTATATTTAATATAAATTTATATGATTGTCCAAAAATTATGAAACAAATTTTGTTAGGTTTATAAAATTGTGATCTATCTACTTGTATATTTTGTTCACATATTTTTATAATATTTTTAGGAGTTATATAATTAATTTGAAATGCTTAATATTGTAAGATATAATCTTGAAGGAATTTTTATGATAAATTGGTGATAGTGTTGGCTCGGAAACTTTCACAATAAATCTCTAATATTATTAGGTGCTCACTGTAATTTTTATAGCTCCATAATAATTAGTTTGCTAAGATAGTTAAATGAGCCCTAGTTTGAAAATATATATTTAATCAATAAAATGCCAAAGCACCTTGGGATTTTAAAATTAGAACATTTTTTTTGGAGACAAAGCCTTACTTGATGACGTCGGAGACCAGTACGTTACTCATTATATCTAGCTTATTAGCTTGCGAAGCGTAATCGTATATTTAAGAGTTGCGGTTAGCGTTGATTAATTACGCCCCTGTGTTGTATCCACGTATATCATAATAGGAAAAACGATGGATTATGAAGTCGACTGAAGTAGTAGAAAATATGATGCCTTGATGATCATGTCACTATGATGGAATATGAACTTTTGGTTATATCTTACCCAGGCAAGAGCCGGTGCATAACCCCTATCATTCTGCACTTTATCTTAGCATTAAGTTTTAAGGGGTTGAATAAAAACCACTTACATATATATATATACATACATACATATATATATATATATCCTTATCCTATGAGTCCTACTAGTATGTCAGGATCGTGTAGATTGCTATGTTATAGGTTCTGTATAAGTCGAGTGATTACCTGTCACCCGCGAGAGATAGAAAAGATATTATTGTTATTATTATATTACTGTCATAGGGAATATATATATAAATGATAATTGGAGACCGGGCATAATGCTACTTTGGATCTGGACATGGTTTGGCATTTGAGCGACGCTCGGATTGCACTTGTTCCGCCTGTGTTGATTGAGGACCGTCCGTTGTTGTGGATGGTAGTCAGGTCACCGACTTATTATCCTGAGCACATACATGCTTATGGGAGCGGGAAGGCTCGTTCCTCTCTTATCATAGGTTCTGGCTCTTTTCGGACCGACTAATTGGAGGCGGGGATGGTGGAGGTCTAAGCAACACACTGAGTCCGGGACTCAGGAGTGGGGGTTTAGAGTCCAAATTTGAACGGAGACATGGACCTCTTAATAGGAGAGTGGTGGGTTGGTCTTGCTTGTGCTTAGGGTACAAGCGGGGCGTGTGTTTCGGGATACTAAGCTGAGATACATTGATTAATGGATCGTCGTGTGATGCAGTACAACTTGGCTATGGTTTAGCACCGTAGTAAGAACTATAATATGAAAGATGGTAAAATGATTCTGATTGGTTAACACCTGTTTGAAAGTAGCATAGGTGCTTATATAGAATGGTTAGTTAATGAATTAACGATGACTGCTAATAAAATTGAATATAAGAATGCACATTTAGTAATGCTTCCAAAGATGCAGTAAACCATAAGTTAGATAGCCTTGTATATCCTTAGTCTTTTATTTTCCTCCTGTCGGGTAAGTCTCGCTGAGTACAATCGAGTACTTAGAATTTTATTCCCCTGTTATAGGTGATCGGAGGATATTTAGAGCTGACTCTTTGTGTGGAAACCTCCTGGTGGACTCAGAGAGGATTTTTTTCACCCTACGACCATAGTGTTTATTTATAACCCTCACGAAAGGTTTTTATAAGAAAAGATGTAAAATCTGCTAGCATCTCTTATATAAAAATGTCCACTATGTTAATGCTCCACCATGTCATTAAATTAATTCTGCTTCCGCTGTAACTCTGATAACATTGTTATATTCCGCTGTTATAATAAATTGAGATAATATTCTGGTACTGTAATAAAGTGATGTAAGAAAGGACTTAAGAATGTTGTAAATTTTATTCTCTCATTTATGATCTTGATGGAAAATTGTGGATTTTCAAGTTCTCCCTTGGGATGTGCTCGATGGAACTACGTAGTTTAGTGTCCTCTCTTTGTTACTTAGTGTCTAATGAAAGATAAGTACTCCTAGGAGACATTAGACTAGCCGGTTCTGCCACAACCCACCTCGGAGGCGAGGACTTCGACCAGCGCATCATGGATTACTTCATCAAGCTCATCAAGCGCAAGCACGGCCGGGACATCTCCGGCGACGCCCGCGTGCTAGGGAAGCTTCGTCGCGAGTGCGAGCACGCCAAGCGCGCGCTCAGCAACTAGCACTAGGTATGCATGGAGGTCGAGGCGCTCTTTGATGGCGTGGACATCTTAGAGCAGCTCACCTGGGCGTGCTTCGAGGAGCTCAACAACGAACTGTTCCAAAAGACGATGGTGCTGGTGAACTGGTGAAGAAAACAATGGCTGACGCTCGGCTGTAGAAGAGCGACATCGATGAGATCGTACTCGTCGGTGGTAGCACCAGGATCCCCAAGGTGCAGCAGCTGCTGAAGGACTACTTCAACGGCAAGGAGCCCAGCAGGGAAGTCAACCCCGACGAGGCTGTCGTGTACGGTGGTGCCGTCTAGGGCGGTATCCTCAGCGAGCACGACAAAGATATGATTGTCATCGACGTTGCGCCACTGACTCTGGGCATCGAGATCGTGGGTGGGGTGATGACCAAGCTGATCCCGAGGAACATGATGATTCCGACGAAGAAGACACAAGTGTTCACTGTTAGATAGCAAGGGGAAGGCGGCGCCGAAAAGGCCCCGTGCTGTGATATTGTAGCCGCTACAGGTGCAGGCACCGAACTGCTCACCTACAGCACTGTAGGCATATGCAGTGGCCAGCGCAGAGTCAGCCCTATATGTTATCTAGTCACTATTATAGCATGTGCGCTGTACTAGGGCTAGATGGATAGAATTATATAAATAGACTACCACGACAACTCAGTAAAGAGAGGTCAGATTTACCATCTCACAGACAGGGCTTCGGCCAACACTGGTGTCTTGTATTATGTGTGCATGCTCTGTTCTCCCTTTTCTTCTATCTCTAGCCATAGTGTGTGGTTGGACAACGTCTGTTCATGGTCGGCACGACTAGTGGCTACCCAGCAGCACTAGCGGGTGCTAGGCAAGACTGGTGAGTGGTTCACTCACCTGAGCTGGTGATCCTGTGGGCCAACAAGTGGTATTAGAGCCGTACAAGTGTCGTTGCCAGACTAACCACTGTCGATGACGGGTGGTTCAGAAGTGGGCAACAGTAGTGGCACTGTTGTGGCTACCTAGCCATGACCGGAGGTCGTTGTTCGAACGATGTGGGAGGTCAGCGGCACCAGTTGGCCAACGCTGACTCGCACCAACTATGGAGAGTGGTCGGTGACCATGAAGGTCAAGCTCAGAGCCCGACGGCTCTGGAATGCTGTTGACAAGGGCACCGACTGTGAAGAAGATGACATGTCAGCATTGGAGGCTATCCTCGTTGCTGTACCGGCAGAGTATAGGGAGCCGTTGGGGACAAAGAGCTCGGCTAAGGAGGAGTGGAAGGCTATTGCGGCGATGCGCGTCGGTTCCGACCGCGCAAAGAAGGTGACGGCCTAGCTTCTGAAGCAGGAGTACGCCAACCTCAAGTTCAAGGATGTTGAAATGGTGGAGGACTTCTCCCTCTGCCTATAGATGCTCATTAGCAAGCTAAAGAGCCTCGGTGTCACCATCGACGAAGAGGAGGCGGTCTCCAAATACCTCCACTCTGTGCCGATAAAGTACATCCAGATCGCTCTCTCCATAGAGATGATGCTGGACTTGTCCACCCTCACTATTGAGGATGTGACAGGCCATCTGTGGGCGGTGGACGAGCGCCTAGAGCAGGCGACAGCAACGAAAGACGGCGGGAAACTCCTGCTGACGGAAGAGGAGTGGGCTGCTCGAAGGAACTCTAGGAAGGCAGCCTCCTCCAGCCGTGGTGGCGATGGCAAGCGCCACGATAAGGCTTTTTTGAAGAAGCAGGTTGACCCTAACGCCTACCGGTGTTGCGGGAAGATGGGCCATTGGGCACGAGAGTGCCCAAACCACAAGCAGGAAATGAAGGCTCAGGCTCATTTGGCGCAAGCCGATGATGAGGATGAGGTCACTATCCTGATGGCGATGTTCTGTGCACTGCACGACATCAAGGCCAATGAGAGGGAAGAGGCGACAATAGTCAAAGGACCTGGGAAGGCCCCAAAGACTGTCAACCTCGACGAACCACGTGCCCAAGTCCACCTTAGACGTGTGGGCGCCGACCAGGAGCAGCGGTGGTATCTAGACTCTGGTGCCAGTAACCACATGACGGGCTCCAAGGCATCCTTCTCCGAGCTCGACGGCGATGTTACCGGCACGGTGAAGTTTGGTGATGGCTCAAGGGTGACTATCAAAGGGCGTGGCACCATTATCTTCAAATGCCAGAACAGGGAGCACCGCGCGCTAATGGGTGTATATTACATCCCGCGGCTGTATTCCAGCATCATCAGCCTTGTTTAGTCTGGATGAGCGTGGTAGCGAGGTACTGATCAAGGATGGAGTCCTTAGGATCAGGGACCGAGAGCAGCGAACTTCTTGCCAAGGTGAAGAGGTCCCTAAACCGGTTGTACCTACTTGACCTGAAGGTAGAGCAGTCGGTGTGCCTGGCGGCAAGGCACTCCGAGGAGCCGTGGATGTGGCATGCCCGGTTCGGACATCTCAGCTTTGATGCGCTTGGTCGGCTAGAGAAGATGGTCCGAGGGCTACCCCACATCAAGCACGGAGGCGAGCTGTGCGATAGCTTCCTGGCCGGGAAGTAGAGGAGGCTACCTTTCCCAAAGGGGGCCAAGTATCGCGTGAAGGATGCTCTCGAGCTCGTCCACGGCGATCTCTGCGGGCCAATCACACCAGCTACAGCGGGTGGTCGGTGGTACTTCCTCCTGCTCATGGATGATTACAGTCGCTACATGTGGCTGCAACTCCTGACGAGCAAGGATGAAGCGGCGGTGGCAATCAAGAAGTTCAAGATGCGCGTAGAGGCCGAGAGCGGCAAGAAGCTCCGCGTGCTGAGGACTGATCGTGGTGACGAATTCATTTCGGTGGAGTTCATTGCGTACTGCGCGGATCAGGGTGTGGGGCAACACCACACCGCACCGTACTCACCACAACAGAATGGCGTGGTGGAGAGATGAAACTAGACAGTGGTCGGCATGGCCCGATCCATGATGAAGGCCAAAGGCATGCCAGTAAGGTTCTGGGGTGAGACAGTGACCATGGCGGTGTTCATCCTCAACCGATCTCCGACCAATGCCTTGACGGGCAAGACGCCGTTCGAAGCTTGGTATGGGTGCAAGCCTAGCGTGTCCTTCCTCCGGACATTCGGTTGCATCGGCCATGTCAGGAAGACAAAGCCGAACCTCACCAAGCTAGAGGACAGGAGCACACCGATGGTGTTCCTAGGCTACGTGGAGGGTACCAAGGCGTACTCGACTCTACGACCCACGCGGAGACAATGTCCTTGTCTCACGCGACGTCGTCTTCGACGAGGAGGCGGCTTGGGACTGGAACAGTCCGAGCACGCGGGAAGCGGGAGGCTTCACGAGCACCTTCATCGTCGAGCATTTGGTCATCCATGAGAGTAGAGACGCTAGGGAAGAGGTGCCGAGCACTCTAGCGGTAGAGCCGAGCACTTCGAGAGGGATGCCGAGCACTCCGAGAGGAGTGCCGAGCACTTCTAGAGGGATGCCGAGCACGCCAGGAGTGGTGCCGGGAGGTTCTGCAGTGATGACGACCACTCCAGAACGAGTGTTGAGCACTCCCATGGTGGAGCCAAGACGTCTTACAGTGGTGTCAACCACTCCAAGACTGAGGCAAGACACTCCTACAATGTGGCCGAACACTGCAGGAGTTATGATGAGCTGTCCAGAAGTAGTTACAGAGCACTCAAGGTGCTAAGCCAAGCACTCCAGCGAACAAGGAACTCCATCGACGCCAATCGAGTCCACCTCACCTATAAGTGACATCACTGAGGTGCGGTTCTGCAGGCTGGACGACATCGTTGACGGCACAGGTCCCTCAGGTCTAGTGGGTGGGCTGCTCAACGACATAGAGCTACTACTCGTCAGCGTAGAGGACCCACCCACGTTCACGCTTTGTCGAGCGGGATGGAAACTGGCGACGGGTGATGCTGGAGGAGATGAAAGCGATCGAGGAAAACGAGACTTGGCAGCTCGTCGATCCACCTCCAGGATGCTGACCGATCAGCCTAAAGTGGGTGTACAAGGTCAAACAGGATGAGCTCGGCGCCATTGTCAAGTAGAAGGCGCGCCTCATCGCCCGAGGCTTTGTTCAGCGCGAGGGCATAGACTTCGAGGAGGTCTTTATGCCAGTAACGCGCATGGAGTCGGTCCGTTTCCTACTTGCTTTGGCAGCAGCAAAGGACTGGCGTGTCCATCACTTGGACGTTAAATCGGCCTTCCTCAACGGTGATCTGGCGAAGAGACGGTCTTCGTCAGGCAACCTCCAGGTTTTCACTGTTAAAGGAGAGGAGCATAGGGTGCTCCGACTACGCAAAGCGCTCTACGGGCTACGGCAGGCCCCTCGAGCATGGAACGCCAAGCTTGACGCCACGCTGGGCGAGCTTGGGTTTCAACGGTGCACAACCGAGCACGCGCTCTACACGCGGCGATGGGGGAAAGAGGAGCTCATCGTCGGCGTGTATGTGGATGACTTAATCGTCACCGGCGCGCGCACGGAGGACATCAACAGCTTTAAACGCGAGATGGCGGCTCATTTTCGAATGAGTGATCTCGGTGCACTCTTCTACTACCTTGGCATCGAGGTGAGACAGGGGAAGGACGAACTCACACTCGGTTAGAGCGCGTATGCCTCCAAGCTATTGGAGGGGAGCGGCATGGCTGAGTGCAAGCCATGCGTGACTCCAATGGAGGAGCGGCTGAAGCTGACAAAGGCCAGTACCACGGCGAAGGTAGATGCAACACTCTATTGGAGCATCGTCGGCGGTCTGCGCTATCTAGTCCACACGAGGCCGGACATTGCGTTCACCGTGGGCTACGTCAGTCGCTTCATGGAGGATCCCAGAGAAGATCACTGAGTTACGGTGAAGCGGCTACTGCGCTATGTCAAGGGGACAGTAGATCACGGGATCATCTTCTCAAAGACCGACGAGAGTAGGCTACAACTCACTGTGTTCAGCGATGCAGACATGGTGGGGGATATCGACAGGCGACGGAGCAGCTCTGGCGTGCTCGTCCTCCTCGGGTCGCCCCAATTTTATGGCTGTCGCAGAAGCAGAAGATGGTGGCGCTATCTACGTGCGAGGCAGAGTACATAGCAGCGGCCACAACGGCGTGGCAAGTTGTGTGGCTACGTCGGCTGTTGGGCGAGCTGATCGGCGTGGAAGCTCACCCACCAGCACTGATGGTGAACAACCAGCCCGTCATCGCCCTCGTGAAGAATCCGATTCTGCACGACCGGAGTAAACACATCGACGTGAAGTTCCACTTCTTCAGGGACTGTGTCGATGGAGGGCAGATCGTCATTGAGTTCGTCGAAACAGGAGATGACGG